ACGCATTCTTCTGTGTATATGAAATTACTCGAGTATTACGTATTCCGGAAACTTACTTATCGTAATCCAAAGCTCAATTTCACGTTTACAGACTCTCAGCCGTGACAACTCTGAAACTTTGCTTCGGGAAGACGTTTCCATATCTGGATTGAATTCGCAATGCGAGAAACTTTTGCAGCAAAATGAGGGCTCGAAAGAGACAGACGTCATTCTCACGGGAGTGTGCACGTTTTACTGCATCTATTCTTCGTGAAAACGACAACTAAGACATAAACAAAAAGAACTCGTCGAAGCGACTCGTTTGGCGGAAAAATTCGGTTCCGATTACAATTCCGGTCGGGACAATCTCCGGGACGAGTGTCTCGGGGATTCGTGTCTCGGACGGGATTCTCCGCGCGCTCTCGTCAAAAGAAAAAAAAGTTCACTGTGGTCAGACACAGAACGCGCGGATCCACGAAGTTGCTCTGACGGAAAATCCGAAACTCGGCGATCGCGAACAGTTTCGTGCGCGCGGAGATTGAACTTCCCTTTCCGCGTCACATCACGACGTGGTTTAAACGCCTCGATCTCCGTCGAGGAAGAATCAAATAGTTGCGGAACGAGATTATATTTTCGGTATATCTTCTTGCGCAATCATCGCGAAAATAAACGAAACTACATGTGCTTTTGATTGCGACGTGAAAAAGAAATTTTCGTCCAGCCGCGAAAACGTAGACGATATACTTAAAAAACTATGTGAAACGATTCGCCGCGTGCTGTTGGGAAAACTTTTTAATGCGTCTTTATAAGAGAAAATCGCATTCCGTCGTTCGTAACACCGAAGCCATAAACTGCCGAGTTTTTTTAGCGACACGCATGTTTGGTATTTTAATTACATTGTAACGTCAAGTCATTTGTAAAACATTCGTGCGTAATATTAAAATAATATAAATCAAGAGAAAAAAATGTTATTTACTTTGTGAAATTTAATTGCCCTACTCTTTTCCACATGTTTGTCGTATACATGTGTACGAGAGAGAGAGAGAGAGAGAGAGAGAGAGAGAAGAAAATAACTTTAAATTAATTAATCATTTAATTTCGCATGCCTGTTACTTTTTTTTTAAACGAAATCTACAATCCGTGCGAAGTTCTAGATAATAGTAATAATACAACTCGTGAAAAAGTGCTTTTTTTTAATTACTTCTGTGAAATTTGAATTTTTGCGAGAAGACGGAAAAAAGATAAAGTTTTGCAAAAAATGGTGGTCGGCATTAAGGTGTTCGCGAATTTTCTGCACAATATGAATTTTCTATTTTTTCTGATTTCTCATTTCGACATTTGTCATAATGCGCGCACGTATATAGCTCGCTATATTTTCAAACGCCTGTGTGTGTGTTTTCTGACTAACGAGAGATTCACTGCGAAATTCCGCTTGTCGGTTGAGAACATTGTTGCACACACCGTGTTCCAACAAGCGTTTTGTAGTTCTCGCGGAACAAAAACGTTTCGCCACCAGTTCGCCGGACACAAGTTTTAATGAGCGTTTTGTCGTTGCGAAGGTAATACGGTAATTTATTTGTCATCGCGGATACACCAAAGAGTTTCAACCAATGAACGTTTTCTATTCGCAAACGCTTTGTGATTCACCTTCTGCAAATATATATATATCGTCTAAACGAATGCGAACGTTCGATACGATTTCCAATCACTAAATTTAACTCGCGAACTTAATTGCACACTGTATAACAGACGTCCATCACGCGGCTCTCTCTCTCTCTCTCTCTCTCTCTCTCTCTCTCTCTCTCTTTCTCTCTTTTTCTGTGTATCACGCAAATAATCTGCGCATTCGAAATGAGCTTCGTACTTTCTTTCTTGCACGCGAAAGGTCGGATGCACGCGAAATGTATTCCGCGTTCTGTGCCGTTGGTGGTTTAAAGAAAATACCGCGAGAAAGCATTTTGAAGACATTTCTGTAATTGCTCTTAATGGACTGACATTACAATCTACTCTCTACGGTGAGAGACCAAGAGCGAAGACGGAATCTTTTTTTATTTCTTCGTGAATATAAAAGTCATTTGAAAATCGCACTTAGAGAAGGTTTGCCCGGGGCTGATTAAGAAATTCACTTCGCGCGCGGATATAACACGCGAACAACCGTTTGTAGGTAGGTACAAGGAAAACTGTTCTCTCTCTGATCTATTATATAAATTAATTATAAAATTACGTAATAAATATAATTAATTTATAAATAAATAACATTTCTTTTCTCATAAATGTAACGCAAAACCTCGGTGTGTGTGTGTGTGTGTGTGTGTGTGTGTGTGTGTGTGTGTGTGTGTGTGTGTGTGTGTGTGTGTAAAAATGCTGATAGATAACCAAATCGATATTTTAGGGAAACTCGTAAAAACACGCACTGAAAAAGCAGTTTAGTTGAGATAACAAAAATTTGGTAAATCAAACCAAATAAAGTGTTCCGGAAACTAAATTTTGGTTGAATTTACCAAAATTTGGTAATCTCAACAAAACTGTTTTTTCAGTGCGTTTTGCGATTGTTTTTGCGACCAATGGATTATTAAATATTTTATTCCTTTTTCAAAGAAGAACAAATTGGCATGTTGCTCCAACATTCAATCTATCACTTGGCGTCATTTTTCTTTCGAAAGTTTGGCCTCTCAGAGTGAATTAATCGCGTCGATCGCGTCCAGATCTTGCTTCTCTTTTTCTCGCGATCAGATATTCCGGACGAGTGCCGCGGCCCGGGTTGTTTAAAAGGTTTTTTTTAACTTTATGCTCCGTGGAGAGTAATTTTTACGAATTGCTCGGCGTGTTCTGTAACGAGAAACTCGACGGTTTATTTTGCTTTATTTTCAGTCGCTTTTTCGCAAAATAAAATTTTTATTCTTGAGATACATAAGTTTCAACTTATCCTCTTTCTTGCGGCAAAAAAAAAAACTATTTTTGTTCTATTTTATATATATATATATATATATACATATATATATATACACACACACGCGAGTGTGCCGACGTTATCTATAAATTGTTATTACCTCCGCTTTACATCCGATAATGTGGCTTTTACGAGCTGTAATCTCAAGACGATCTTTCTAATCCAGTATCAATTTGTTTTTATGGAAATGATCATTTCCGCGCCTATCTCGAAAGCTTATCCTTAGTTTTTTGCTCACCGGTTATAGACGCGTAATAATAGTCGCGTTAAATATTCGGACTTTTCCGTGCGAGAATCTCTGTACTTCGAAATAAATAAATAAATATATATATAAAACTAATTTGTGTAAATATTTTGTAAAGAGAAAAAGTAAAACACACATGTGCGCGCGAGAGAGAAATAATTGATGTTCAATAAATTTGTCACAATTAATTTTTACTTAATTGCAAGGATAATCGTACGTACGGAAGAACAAATGTTTCTTTTTAAGAAAAGACGTTTCTTTAACATTTTTCTCTCCGTGTACGAACGTCTTCTAATTTTAAGCTAAGAAAGTTCGTATTTATATCAGTGATTAACAATAAGAACACATGCAAACTACGTATAATTATTACTGTGCGGAAACACGAATAATAATAATAACAACAACAATGAAAATAATAATATAGCTTAAGCGTAATTAAGTGCAACACATAACTTGTTTCGGATATACCCCCTCATTTGCTCGTCTTTCCCCATAGACTCGTTTTCTTCGGCCGATCGTCTGATAAGCAATCTACGGCCGAACGCCGATAAGGAAATTAACATTATCGTGACGATAACGAGCGAAATATGCAAGAACCTGTTGCGGTGGGGAGATAGAGAAGCCGTTCTCTAAGCAAGGAAATACGATTCGCGAAACTGCAAGTTGAAAATTCTGCACGTCACGCGCATCATCTCTGAGAAGATTTCTGAGATTCAGAAATACAGAGAGAGATGAGAGAATACTCCGAGATACTCCGCGCGATAAACTTACAAAACTAATAAAGTTCCAGTTTCGATTTTACGATTTCAATAACGCCTCGTTCCTCGCAGATAAAATTGCGATTGATCGACGTTATCGCGACATTTTCCATCGAGAGTGTTTTTTTATTGTTTGATCACGCCCGAAGTAAAGACGGTGTGTATTTTTCTTTTTAAGTATTGTAACTCGTCGCTGAAGTGAACAATAATAGATAATCGATTTAATAATAACAATAAAAATACGCGAACCTCGTGCAATAATTACACATGTAATTCTTCTTCTTACGTGAATTAAAATTTTTTCAACGCCGATGTATATCTTGTTTCGCGAGTTATTTTTATCCAGCGAACTATTTCGCCGGGGGGATGAATCGATTTTCTCGACACGTCTGCGGCATCGAATTTCGCGGCGCGTTAAGAACACAACGGTGCAAAACTCTTGCGTCTGAGTTTTCACGCGAAACGGGACTCTCGTCCGTCTTTTTCCAACTATAAATCACGAAACAACAACTCGTTCGTCAAAACACACGAGAAAACAGATCTTTTTTTTTGTTTTTTTTCCACGAGAGCACAATCCGCTTTCGTCACTCGACTCGGCGAGAAAAAAAGTCCGTGTTGCGTCTTCATTCACTTTCCTTCAAAGTTCGCATGTTTATTTATTTTCGTTTTCTTTTTTTTTCCGCTCCGCGAAACAAAACACGGCAAAATGTTATGCGCGCCGGTCGCTCACATCACTCCGCATTATAATCGCGTACTCGAAAAGCCACTCCGCAACGTTGTTCCGGCCATTTCCCCCACCCTCTTCGAAACTTCCGTTTTTTTTTTAAATCGCGTTTCTTCACGTCGACATGTAACACACATAAAATATACACAGGGCGTTAAGGTGGTAGACGACGACGAGGTAGATAATGCGAAAGGGGGTGATGAGAAAAAAAAGAGCAACAGATTTTTTTTTTTTTTTACTCATGCTGTGTGTTTGGTGCTGACGAAAATGAAGAACCAACGCAAAATAGGCCGTCGACACTCATCATGCACAGGCGGAGGCTATTCATTTGAGTGGTATATTCACGATTGTCGGCGGTCGTCCTGTTAACGACGGCACGGTAGTGGTAGTGTCGGGGTTCATCGTCGCTCACCTGGGGTAGAATCATGACGTGCGGCAGCTGGCGCGCCTCGCCGCGCACTGACTCTCCCTCTCCAAAGGAGACCGCGTTCTCCACGGCGCGCGCCCCCGAACCCTCTTCCACTCCTGCCGACCACCCTTTCCTCCCTTCCCCCAGCATCCACCGCTCTCTTGTGCAACCAGTCGGATCTCTTTCTCTCTCTCTCTGTCTCTCTCTCTCTTTCTCTCTCTCTCTCTCTCTCTCTCTCGCTTCGTCCCGGGGTGGAAAAATATCCACGGGACTGTAGCGCGGCGGCTAGGAGACGTCGAGCAAGATGTATGTTCGCAAAAGGAACGGCCGTTGTTACAGATGGTAATTGCCGCTGTTTTAGGATGTGCGCTCGTTAACGTTCGTTTGATTGGTTGACGCTTACAAAAGGATCCTCGATCGTTAGGTCCAACATTTTGGAACGAAAGAAAACTCAAACGATACTGTCCGATGAAGTAATTGAAGTTCGCGCTTGAATTCTTTAACTTTTTTTTCTTTCTTTTTTTTTAATAAACTTTTTAATAAACTTTCGAAGAAACTTCACTCTCTCTCAATTTTCTTACGAATTCTTCATTTTGTTTCGTTGCGCAAAGCTCTGAATTTCGCTTTCTAATTTTTTTTTACAATGGAACGTAACAGAGCGGCTTTATGTAAAGTGGCACACCAGTTGCTCGACGATAACGCTAGTGCAGACTTTCTTCTAAGAAGAACGGAACGTGTCACTCTCTTATCGCGTTATACATGAAGAATCGCTCATGTGACACAGAAAAAAAAAAAAACGGACCGTCGCTGGTGTCCCGCGACGATAAAACGCACGATTATGAATTCATTGCACAACCTCCGCATTATCTATTCGTCACTCGCCGCGAGCAATTTTTGGCACAGAAAGAAAGCGAAAAATGTCCACAGGAAATAAGAAACGTTCGGATAGAACGCCGGAACTTTTATGAGAGATAATGTTATTCGATGTTTATCCACGTATGTATTTTATCCACGTATTTCCGAACGACGTAATCTCACGACACGCGCGCGAAACGTAATCTTTATACAATCGCGTATTACTATCGGAAGTATCAAAAGCGCTCGACATCACATCCGCTCGCGTATAGGAGACCGGGTTGGTCGATCTCATCTCTCTCGTCGTTCGGAATTACCGTGTTTCACACAGAGTGCGCATAAATTCACATCGGCTAAGTTAAATCGCCGCTCTTCGTCACACCGATCTTCGTCACGCGCAAAAAACGGGGATCACGACCCGGGAATGGATGTCGCGCGCCAATAGAAGATGAATGGACTCTTTTGCGCGCCGCGCAAAAACATTATGACGTATAGCCGGTGGTAATTTCGACGGAATCAACTTCCTCCCCCCCGCCCTCACCTGGTGGGAAAAACACCAAACGCGAAAGTACAAGCGATTCGTCTTGTTCGACGAAAAACCTTACAAAGCGAGACAATAGAAGGGCTTGCGACGACCCTCCTTCTTCGATCAAGAATTCTCTTCATGACCCCGAAAGCTCCTTTCAAGATATTACCGAAAAAAACGGACCGTCTACCTCATTCGCTGAGAGCAAGGGAAAGGTGAAAACTTCAGCTTCATGTCAAGCCGCATGCTATGAATAGATATTGGGGAACATATTCTTTGCGCGCGGAGAGAAGCATCAACGATCGCGAGACGTCGATCCGGAATCGACAAACGTACATATAAGCTCACTGTTCGCAATTTTGCATCTCGAAGACGTCCCTGCTCCACATTTAATTATTGAGAAACTAGAACTTTTTGTGAAGAATTGAAAATATAAAGAAATTAAACCAAAACATCTAGATATTTTAAATAAAGAAAATATATAAAACAACTGCAAAACAAAATAAACTTTCGAGATGATGTTACAAGTTTAACGGAACTTGTGTTATCTGTATATATAACGTTAAAATAATTAGATTTTAATTATTTTATGTTAAAATAATTATATATATAGAATTTAATTTTACGCAAACCTTTGTGTACAAAAGAAGACTTTTATTTTTTAAATAAAAAAAATCCCGAAGTTCATTTATCACACGCAAAAAATATAGACAACTCTGACATTTATTTCTGCAAAATTCAAGTTTTTTGCTTTACGCTGATAAAATGTGTATAGCATAATACTTGAAATTTTAATTAGAGTACACAACGAAAAGTTTTCTTTTTGTTCAGAATTTTCGTTACGCGTCTGATTTAATAAATATTAATTAAGCCATTATGCGAATCTCTCTGGTTGCTGTTGGGGGAGACAAAACAAGCTTCTAATTGAATCCATAAGAAAGGCGGTTAATTAAGAGGCATCTAATGGGATGCGACAACAATGCCTTGCGTCCTGTCGTAACGCAAAGTAATGGCAGATCTCGCGATAAGTCGAGATTAATCGAGATTAAAGAGAACCGAAGAGATGACTATCGAGTGACATCGTCGTTTTCTAAAAGTCGCTCCGAGTATGTGAAACGCGACACTTTTGTCGCGGCCATGATAATTCTTCGGCGTCTTCGCGCCGAGAGGAATCGATGGATGTCTCGGATATCGATAGCAGAACTAATGCATCAAAAGGAATCAAGAGTGAAATTAGTTTGCTCTGCGACCCGCGCGACGCTTGTTCGAGTTTTTGATTCTGAAATCGTACTTTATATCCATATTTTCCACGTCATTCGGCGAAATTTTCCATCCGCGCGTGTCCGAATCAGGGTTGGGCGTATTATACATGAGGTATTGTACGGTAGGGAGCACCATATCGTGCGGCTCCAGGGGAAGTATTTTTCGGAAATTTCTCCTTTGACTGCTTCTACTATCGCGCGTCGTTCTCCTTCGATCTCGGGCTGCTGGCAGAGATCGAAGGAGAGCAGCGCGCAGTAACAGGAGCAGCTAGAAAAAAGATTTCCGAGAAATACTTCCCCTGGAGCCGCACGATATGGTGCTCCCTACTGTACAGTCGGCGTCAATGAATCGTTTCGTAGCACCGGGAGCTAGGGGTAAGAGAGACGGTATTCCCTAGGAGTAAGTACTGCCAACGGGCGCCGCACTAACTAACTGTTGCAGATTTCGATGAATTGACCATATATGTAATACTCCTATATTGCTAGTCGCGTATCTTCGCAATGAGAGGCACGAGGCCCGAGAAAGGGAGACGCACGAAGTCCAAATATGGGCATAGATGGTCGAG